TTTCGATTGTCTCTGTAGATATCTAATTAACGGGACATTTCCCTCCCCAGAAGCGAAACCACTTGAATTTTTGCGAAGTTTCGCCAGCGTCAAATGAAGATATTTTCTTCCGGAAGACAAACGGTTACTTGACAACTAGTTTAACTAGAACAAAGGCAGGAGAGCTTCAAAGCATAATCAATTTCAGCACACAATGCATGCCTAAATACCAACAGGGAGTTATTTTCGTCCACGATAAGCCAAGTAAACACTCGGTCAAGGAACATTTCTTCAAACTTCAAACGGAATTTCTCGGCCAAAACTTACAGTTTTTGAATCCATAGTTGTGTAGGTCAGCACAATATTTCTTCGTGATTAAGTGTTCCACACGAGATAGGTGTTCAAACAAGTCCTTTGAGAAATATCTGCCTGTCCGTGCTGAAGTTAATTCACAAGATTAAGTGTCCTAGCCACTTCCTAGAGGATATAGAAGAGGAGAAATATTCAAAAACAGATATTAAACGACAGGCATCTGTCAAGTTAGTGTTGATGTCGCCAGGAAGCCTAAGTCAGCGATTTTATCAGCTGCCCACGACATTTGAGCTTATGAATTTACAGCAATACTTCAATACCACGCTTGTAAGCATAATATAAGCTTGCGCATACCGTAAATCCAATGGATAAATTCGGTTAAACACCATTTTCTAGCACTTAGACAACGTGTCAGCTTGTTTATCATGTTTATCTATCACTCGCGTTCTCTTGCAAATGACTACGGATCGAAAATTAACCCGAAGAAAAGAACGCTAATGCACAAATATGGCGAACAAATATTTTGACAAGATGAATCACATTTCACGGGATTCTCATGTGAAACTGTGCCCTGCGTCACATGAAAATCCCGAGCATTCGATTACTCTATGTAAAGTGCGAAACTACAGTAATACCTTCTCCTTGTCTCTTCGTTTAGGATCTGGTATTCATCATTTGGAGAAACCCACGCTAATACGCACAAAATTAGACAATTTTGAGGCACTTTGATGTTTTACATCCACTCGCCCCAGTTCATCCCTCTTCCCACCTTGTCAATGAAGAAGTGTTTCCGTAGTCACGTACAGGTCACGCAGACGAAAAAGACAGATAAACACAGCAGAAATAATATTGCCTGGTTATTGGTGAAGGGGTGGTGGTGAAAACTTCAGCATGGTTTTGGCCAGCTCTTTCAGAAACTGTGAACTGGCAGACAGGAAGAATTAACGAAAGGAGACATAGAGGCGCGCAATGAAAAAGCTTGAAAAGGAATCAAAAGCCCGGGATCAAAAGGCCACTTCCTGTCACACAATATCATCCACTGTTGAGAACTGGGCGGTTTATATAAACAAAGGGAATAAGGGAAAATCCGGGAGAAATTGTGTTTAAATGGTTTTTTGAAAATGTAGTAGCAGGCTCGACAATTGAGGATCGAAGAAACTCAGTCAGAACGGGCTTTGGGATTATTGGCAGGAGAGAAAAAACAAGAGGTCCGGTTTTTAACATCTTTTTGCTGGAGGCTATTATTTATATATTCTGTTGCCGTAAACTTCCGAAAGTAACCACCCCCCGAAAGTAACGTCAAAAAAATGAGGCCGCTAATAAATCCCGAATGTAGTTTTTATGCAAGAACTATACCCGAGTGGAACTCAGTTCCTGCTGAAGTGACAAGCGTTTAGAGTCTCGTCTCTTTTTGATCTCAATAGTGATTTAGTTACATTTATTTCCTTTTTTCTCTTTGACATCTGCGGCGATGGGTAAATCCCTTTGCAGATTACGTATATAAATGTAGAGTGTAGATGCTAAATTGAAAACTCAACCGGCTCACTGAGGTATTAAGCAGTGCATCATGACGGTACAAACAGTTAATGGTATCCCGGGGAGGTATCCGGTCATCTCGCTACCAGGGAATTTCGCCACCAACGGCGACGAACTCGCCACCTCCAACAAAAAGATAAACTAGTCGAGTAAAGTAGTAGAGGTGAAATGATCAGATTAGCTGGCAAATCGGTTTGCCGCGCGCTCGTTTTGTTACTTTCTTGTTATAGTAGTCTTTTGCATCGTTGAAATGGACAACGCATTGCCTTCTTAGCTTTTTTTTCGAATGGCATATGTAGATTATTCCTCGTTCTTTTATCTACTGCCTTATTAGTTTATTGGTGATTTTATAAAGGAGGCTACTGGTGCGAAGCATATTGTAAATTATTTTGGACTGAAACACAGTCGACAACTTTATTCAGTTCTTTTGTTACTGCCAAAGAGTAGAGCGTGCACTTTACGGCGTTGGGTCATAACCATAATCTGACAAACCCGAGATTTTCGGTAGGTGGAGGGAAATTTTCACGATTGATCAACAGATTATACACATGTTGTGCTTTCGATTGTTGCCGTGGATGAAAAAAGTAATTCTTCCTGTCACATCTCAAAAATCTTTCCAGGAACAAGGAATTGAAGATAAAAGTAATATTGAATAAAGTAGCAGCTCAAAACGAATTTTTGTTGGAAAGAATGAAAAGAAAGAAAGCATTTCTTTTGTTTATCAACGGGACTGGATACATTAATTTTCAAGACCACTTTGGCACCAATACGTGACGAATACTGACTTTCTGTTTATTTTAATTTATGTACCTGTTATTCTAAATCTAATTTAAGACGTCGACTTAAGTTAACAAATCGAATGTGGTTTAGCGTGGTCTGTACTTTTATCGACAACGATACGCGTCATCACAGTGGTCAAAATGTTGTGGACTCGCGAGGCGCAGCCGTACCCGTATAGCGAAATCTGGATCACTGGATTGTCTTGCCAAAAAACGCTTACATACCACTTTTCTTGGGGCACGCCCCGCCCTTGATCTTTATAACCTTCTAGCGGTCAGCGGGAGACACCATTGCAAAATGCTGGCGCATGTCTTCTGCTGCTTTTGATCCGGGAGATTCCACGGGCTACAGGCCATGGCGGAAAAGTGGTGTTACGAAGCGAAAATTATTTGTCTTGGCTTTTGAATTATTCCAACAGTGTTGAACGAAGCAAAGCAGATAATCAGTCTGTGCTCTGCGGGCTACTTCGTAGAAAAAATATAAAACGTTAGGAGTCATTGTGCACGTTTTGTGAGAACAGATGTAAGCTCAAGTCTGCGGCGAGACAGGCTGATTGCTCGAAAATCGTAAGGTGTGTGTTTGTGCGACTTCATCGTTCAAAATGAGCTCAGCCCACGGAGGAAGAAGAAGGCCGCTTACCAGGACAACCTCTTCGTCGGAAGACCAAGCTTTGAATCAAATTGCTCGTGAGGTAAGCAGTACATTTGGTTAATCTTTACATCGTTAATTTTGATTCGTCGCAATCTTCCCAATTACCGGACCAGAAATTTTACTATTGAGAAATACAGCCTTCGTATACTGCTGAATGATTTAATGCTTTGGCTACATTCATTTGTCTGGATGAAGAATTAGAATGAAAAGTTCTGCTTGCGTTGGATAACATTGTATTTTCGTGTTCAAACTTCTTGTCAGTCTATTTCTGGATGGAAGTTACATATCGTGTACAAATTGTCAATTTCTAGTGGCAGTTTTTCAATCAATGGGCCAAAGTCACGATTTATGTAGTGGTAGTAATTTATAAACACTTATTTTGGATTAGTTTAGGTCGAGTTTTTTTCTTGCTGCTTCGTCTTTAATTTTTTTCATTAGGCAGGTCTAATTAGTTGTACTAAGTTTTTCCTTTACGTCGATAGTATTTTCAGCGCGAGACGTTTTGCCGGGGCGTGTGTCGTTGTTTATAATTTACGATTGTTGCCAAACTGACTTTTCTAGTGGGCGGCCACCTAAACCATTTCCTGTTAAATTTCGACGTCTCTGAACTGTTTATGAGAGACTTCCAGCTGCTTCTAACGGCAATTAACACCAAAATCCATACTCTTCACTTTACTCACTATACAATACTAAAAAAACATTAACTTTCGTTCCAAGCAGCACTGAAACTTCGTTTGCAGTTGAACACAATAAGTTTTAAATAAATGGCAAGAAAAATCAGTGTCACTGAAATTAATTTTGTAAAACTTTACTGAAAATAATTCATTCTTGATTATCCATCACAGGCAGTATTCCAGATCCACTCAGTGCAATTTACTTTTATTTCGTACTTTATCTTATTTCTTATTTTCATTTTCTTATTTGTCATTTTAGTAATTTTGAAACCAGAGTCAGATTTTAAGTTTACTCATCTAGAATTTTACTCCTCTAAAATAAGACTTCCGTCCCACTATTAACTAACCTCTTTTCAGTAATTATTGCTCCCTTTGGTGGAAAATACAATGTAGCAGATAATCATATTGCCTAATATCTACACATCTCAGTTCTGCAACATTTCTCATTGTTTAAACTTCAGATATTGTGAAGCAAAGTACAAGTGCAGTGTTTCTCAGAATATAAACCATGAATTTTGATTTTTACCGATAACTGGATAAGATCTCTGAGTTTGCCATTGATCTCATCTGAAGGTTGTGTCTATTTATGGTTTCGTACAAACTGCTAGAGCTAAAAATTCATTTTCAGACAATAATTGATACATATACTCAATATCAAAGTGATTTACCCAACCTATTTGAATTATGATCTCTTGAAAACAAGTCGTTACAAAATGAAGTATTCTGTGTTTGCAAATGGCAGGGGTATATTGCGGAATGCTCAATGCATAACACAGAAGCCAAATGCACTGTTTACTTGCATTCACTCATTTTTGCTTGTAGTTAGCTTTTATTTGTAGGAAAAGACAGCATTATACTGTATTTGGCTCATTCTGACAAACAAAAACTAATCACAAGCAAACATAAGTGAAAGTAATTGCGAGTTAATAATACATTTGTCATTAGGTGTTCTGGATTCGGCGCTAGGTGTTCCACAAAATACTCTTGCCGGTTTACAAACCCAAACTGAAAGCTATCATAAACCACTTCGTTGATCGGTCTTTTTCAAAATAGGCAGACATAAATATTTCACAGTGCTTTAACTATGGTATTTTGATGGGCGGCAATTTCATTTTCTTGTGATTTTGGAGAAGTTGTTGTTAAGCAAATCTTAAAATAAGAATACTAACTGTAATCTATTGCCCCTTTGTATTTTCTAGGTGTTAGGCAAAGTATGTTTGCCTGTTTGCAAACTGGAACTGAAAGCTATCATAAACCACTTCATTGATTGGTCATTTTCAAAATAGGCTGACGTAGATATTTCACAGTGCTTTAACTATGGTATTTTGATGGGCAGTAATTTCATTTTCTTGTGATTTTCGAGAAGTTGTTGATAGGCAAATTCTTAAAAAAAGAATAATAAGTGTAATATATTGCCCCTTTGTATTTTCTGCCAGTGTATGGAAGCACACATACATGCAAACTTGCTGCATGAATCTTGTGTCCTTTGTCTTTGAATTGTTTCGCCTGTCTGTGAACTGTTTCCTTTGCCTAAATTAATATTTAAGCAGTTTGGATGAGTTGGCTTTTGAGCCAACCCAGAAGCTCGCTTCTTATTATGCTAGACACATTTAAAACTGATATATTTGTTAGTTATATAAGCTTCATTTGTTTTCCACTATTTTCTGTATTTTTTCCTTCCTCTGTGATTAAAACAGTGTGAATAAAGATGTGATTTGATTGGATTTAAGTTTGTGTCGTGTATAATGGCTGTAATTATGTACTTTAGGCTGAAGCACGTCTTGCCGCTAAGAGAGCAGCCAGAGCTGAGGCGAGAAGTATTCGTCTGAAAGAGCTTGAACGCCAGCAACAGGAAGGAGAAAATGTATGTCCACATAGCCAACAATGAGTTTAGTTGCTTTATTTACATTATCTACTGCAGAAAGGTGCTGTAAATTTGGTCACTCTAGAACCAGTAGTTACAAAGAACGTAGTTTTTGTAATTAATAATGTAAGTATGCGTGCTGTAAAAAATAGATAATTAATAATAATAATAATAAAAAAACAAAAAAAACAAAAAAAAAAAGTTACAAAGAAGGTACAAGTCACAAGTCCCAGGGAGTTACTCGTGAAGTTACCTCTTTATTCCCATTTCCCTCAGTCTCTAACCCTACCATATCTCCAACGGGATCCTGTATCAACCCCTTCACTACCCCCACATTAACCATACTTCAACAAGATTTTATCTCTTTTGTACTCTCCTAGATTTAAATACCTGCTGTCTCTGTCTTTATAGTCCATCTTCATCTCCATTACAGGGCTGTCAATAAGGGCCATAACCTGTAGCATCTGTTACGGCTGAGCATGCTTGATGGCCCTCTTTTGTTACGGGTGAACTTGGTAGTTGATACAATTCACCCATAACGTAACAAATTTGTTACGGGTTTGAAGATCAAGGCTAAAGGTGAATCAAAACTGAATGACAGCCCTGCATTAGGCTATGCAAGAAATTTCCCCATATTTGTTAGTCAGATAAATGATTGGTTTGATTTGATTAGACTCCCCCTTCTCCTTTGATGAAAATACACTAGTTTGAAAAAAA